CATCGCCGCGAGTGACCAGAGGTCCCTCAGCGGCGGCATCCGGCGGGATGTTCTGCCGGGAACAATGTGGTTATGGGGCACATTGTTACAAGTTTAACACCTATAAATTAATAAATTAAACAAATTAGGGTTCACAAGGATCCTTTGTCGAAATTTGCCAAAAGGAATGTGGTTTACCGGATTGAATGTTGTGATTGCGATGCTACCTACGTAAGACAAACAGGAAGAAAATTAAAAACGAGATTAGCAGAACATCGCAATCACATACGTAGAATTATATCCACGATCATTTGGTTATCACAGATCATAGCGTTAGTTGCAATCATGATTTCGATTGGAATAATGTGAGAATTCTGGATTCTGAGAGAAATTATAATAAGAAAATAATGTCTGAAGTGCTCTATATAAATCGTCAATCCAATGGTCTGAACATGTAACCTGATACTGGGACATTAAATCATGGATACATAGAAATTCTCAATAAGTTATTTGTTTATTTTTATCATTGACTGATATATTTTGTTCGCGCAACACATCTATTATTGTATTCAACGAGTAATATGTGACTAACATCAGAATGAACATGACTCTCTTTTATGTCACTTAAATTATTTTTTAATTTATCTTTGACATTGTGATTTTTAAATTTGTTGTAATGGATTGACGATGTTTGGATCCGCATGCGATAGCGGTTGAAGATGGGATGAGTTTCTGACGAGCATACATTAATTACGCAAATTAATATCCATCTATTTAAAAATACCTCGTCGCAATTATATTAGCTTGAGCTCCACTATCTGCTCAACTCAGCTAACCAACTGGTTGGCATAACATTAAATTATGTTGAAGATGGTTGTCTTTCCAAATTTCCTGTGACTGCATTATTGGAGGTCGGAACTACGATTGTGTGAGACGCAGTTTCGACAGATTTTATAGTGCGACAAGCGGTAAAATTTTTATTGCTGAGGGTAGTTCAAATAGTGAGCCGAAACGTACAAAATTGAATTTGTGACATATTAATAGGTATTAGTTAGCATTGCGCAATATAATATCCAGCCCTGACTCCTAACGCGCAATTGTATTTTCCGTTATTTCATTGTATTTTATTCATTGACATAACGTGTGGTATCAGTTGTTTAGTTTTATGAACTCTAATTATGTACGCGTTTATAGATAAACTTATTCTTTATTCTATATTGTTGCATTTTGTTATTCTTCTTATTATGTGATATACCCCTTATAAGAGATACATACCATGATGTCTTTGCAGGTTTATGCGGCCTATGAGACTGGTTTAGCAGCTGGTACCAGTTTGAAGCTGCACGTAACACCAAGGACCACGGCGCGGGAAGTAGTGGATCTTGTTGTAAAGCAACTGAATATGGCAGTAGTCCTAAAAGGACAAAAGGGACCTACTTACACGGCCGATGAGTTACCAAACTTTTGTCTAGTTGCCGTAATCGGTGCGCGAGAACGTTGTTTAAGGGATGATTTTAAGCCGCTTCAGTTGCAAAATCCGTGGAAAAAAGGACGGTTGTACGTTAGACAAAAGCAGGATGTTCTTGCCGCACTTGAACACAGTAGTAAACACACTGCGTACTTATAGCAAAAGTAAAGCGGTATTTCCAAACGAATAATGACCTTACTTATTGAATAACATAAATTAGATTTCAGTACGTCCTACACGTACAAACGTAATGTTTCCAAATAATGATATTTCCCGTAAAGCGTCCTAGTCGTGCATCTTCAACGGCACAATAAACGAAAAATTTTAGTAAACAGCGATCTAAAGAAAAAAGTAGTTCATATGATGCTTCATAAACCGAGAGAGATTTTCTTGAATTTTTCTTCCAGTTAATAATATTTTTGAACGAATATGACTTCGTGAGATCCGGTGTCACTTTCATATGAAAAACAAATTGTACATTCAAAATCATTTTACTAAAAAGAAAAAATATTTGAGTCCCTAAATAAAGGACATATTAGTTAAAAACATTAATACACTTTTGACAAATTGTTTATTAAGTTGGCTGCCTTCTACTTTTTACTTTTTATGAACGAAATGGTATTTTTTAATACGAATATTTTGAATCCACGCAATTATATTTAGGACTAATTTCACTATTAAACATAGATTTAGGATCACTATGTGTAATTGTAATAGTAGGGTGACTATAACGTTGTAATATATTTAAATGAAAAACAAATGTTGATATTAGATAACTAACACAAAAAGGATCTAATTATGCTTTTTTTTATAAAAAAAAAAAACTTTCATGGATTTGTAAAAACCAGACATGAAAAATTTAAATCTAAACATTATTTAAACGATCATTACATTTTAATCGTTTACTGTTTTAATCGTATACTGTTTTATTTTTCCCTAAAGTGTAAAGTCTATAATAACTTCTAATTATTGAATCCAATAATTACATTATGCAACACCATTTTGAAATACGAGTGTGTATAGTCACTTTTGACGTATTTTTGCGTGCTGAATGTCGGCAAAAATTGGCTACCACGCCACAATTTAAAAAAAAATGATAGTTCAAAATACAAAGCAACGATTTCAAGGTGGTTTTCAAAACGTAGCATCGGCAGCTAATTTTTTATTTAATTTTATTAATGTTATATCAAAGTATGAACTTTTGGCTTTAAAATGTATTTCGATTCATTTAGACGATATGATCTTTTTGTTTCCGAGATATAGCAATTTAAAAATATGGATAGAAGATTCTTTTCTCATGTATAACAGTATCAGACAAATAAATAATATTATTTTAAAGAGAAATAAAACTTTGATTATTTCGAAATTTTTATTCTATCTCTTTTAATAAGGGGTAACACCACTGTAAAATTTTAAAAAAATCAATTTTTTTTTTGGGCTTCAAAAATCCTTTGAACCCTGTAGAATACGAGGAAAAAACTTTTATACGTGAAACTAATTTTTTTCATCGAAATTCCGAGCTGTGTACCGAACGAGTCGGGCGACTCCGAAACGGCTACCTGCGCCGGGTGGATACCTGTCGAGAGAGTAGTGCGTAATACCTTGCTTATTGACTTCTAAGTTATGTGACACACTTTAATGCGACAGTGTGGAATTTGGCTCCTAAATCGTATTCAAGCGGCAAGACAGTCCTAAATGTAGCGGCGGATATCGCTACATGCGTCTTTAATGATGGAATACAACTCCAATCTTTAAACGCGTTTTTCTCGAAACACGTTTTTTCAACGCGGCAAGCAGTATAACTCAAACAATTTTTAATATTTTCACTCGAATTTTTTACTGTACATTCAAAACAACATTTCGAAGTACAATACGTACGGGATTTTCGATACGTTGCTTTAAACATTTTTTATAGCCAAATAATGTCACTTTTTTTTATCGAAAAATGAACGACTTTATTCAAATGCTCGCCAATTACTCAAAAATCAATATTTCTAAAATCCCCTACGTATTGTACTAGATATACCATTGAAGATCATGAGGAATTTTTTTATTTATTCTAGTTTCAAATTTCCAACGGCTACACTGCTTGCCGCGGACCCCTTTATTTTAAAGGCGCATCGGGAATATGGCTGCCATTTCGCCATTTTGTAATATTTTTTTATGAAAAAATTTTTACAAGTACTTCAATATATGCTTATTAACTTCACGGAATATTAATACTTTATTTCATTTCCTTCCATTATAAAAAAAATGTCGAAAAAGTGCAATTTTTTGGGCCGTTACAGTGGTGTTACCCCTATAGAATATTTTTAAATTAAATATTAGTATCCAGCGAACTAACAAAGGGAACATCAAGTGAAGGTATCGGGGATTTTGATGCGCCTTTTACAGGCAGTGCTTTAGCGAAAAAAAACGATGTGTCCGGCCGTTTTAGCCATTGGTCCATAATTTCAAAGAAATCGATTTTTTAAATAATCGTTGTAATAATCTAAAAAACGTACTACATAGGAAAATATCAATATCTTTATAAATTTTATTTTATTTAACTAAATGTTAAGGATAAAATTACATCTGGAATGATTCTGAATTTCGGATGATAATTCTGAACTCAGCAAGTAGATCGCACGCTAGTCGAAACGTTGCTAACTTCAGAAAGCATTCGACTTACTCATGTGCGCAGCGATTCTCCGAACTAAAGAAGTATTCCAATAAAATTTTACAAGCAGCATTACAAGGTCTTGATTTTTTAAATTAAAATCTCAAGCTTTAAATCCCTAGTAAAAAAAGCAAGTATATACAATACTACTTTTATATTTTTATACTACTTGTAATAATCCCTAGGTAGAATTTGATCATGATAGCCTATCTAATCAGAAATGATTCATGATTTTCATTTCTAAGAAGATGAAGATTACTTTTAGCGGAAGAATGCATAACACAAGAAGGTACAGCGAACATGACTTGGCATTGTTATGTAATTTTTTTGTCATTATTCAGACGTCTCTGTTTTATAACAACAAGACAGCTTTATGGCGTAAACGAGATATCCTAATATAAATATGATAATTTTATTACATGTCTTTGTTATATATTTAGCACATAACATAATTATGTAAATTAAACGTAATTAAGTTACATCCATATACCATTCTATGAATGTGTTACGTATTCCTTTATGTCGCATTTGTGTTTATTATTTATCCCGCGCGATTTCGTTACCTACACGCGCGGCGCACCACATTTTTCCTTACGTACGCGACGATAGTTACCTTTGGCGCGCGTGTCGTCACTCGCGGCGCTCTCATCCAATCCGCGCGGGAGAAGATCAGAAGGATCTAGAAATCAATCGACCCTCGGCGAGGACACATCGTCCGTCTCGTTACAGCGAACATTACTGTAAACGTGATTACTGTAATTCAGATCAATAAGTCTGTTAGTGCTCTCAAGCAGCTTGTGATTCATCCCATTCAAGAGTGAAAGATTGAGGAATATAACGTATTCTTCGACTTGGCCATTCGCAAGCGATCGTCGAACCAAGTAGCCCGGACAGACCGCGCTGTATTCGAGAAGTCTGCAGCCATTGGAGGACAGACCGCGAGATCCGCGCCATATTCTAGAAGCCTGCAGCCATTGGTCGAACGACTGTGCGATACACGCCGCGCTCGAGGGGATCCTGCATCCATTGGCGGACAGACCGAGCAACCTGCGTTTATAGCCGAGGATTCTGCAGCCGTTCGTGGACGGACCACGCCAAGGAGGCCGCCTCGATCATTCCACGCTGAGGGCCCAGAACCGTATTGCGGCAAGCGTAGAACATAAGCGTGCGTAAAGCGAGATATAAGGTAGGACAGCTGTTCAAGGATAAACGCCATTAAAATTTTTGTGCTTAGTTTTCGCCGTTGCGTTCACAATGACCGATGAGAACGCTCATCTTGCTCTTAAGAAGCGGCGTACTACGCTCAAGAGTTCGTGCACGCGGATTCGCACTTATGTCGATTCAGTGCGCGACGTATTTGCGTCGGTGGCAGCGCAGCTGCAAGAGCGTAGGCTTAAGTTAGATCAGTATTGGTCAGAATATAACCAAATCCAATTGAATCTTGAACTAATTGACGAAAGCGAAACTAATGATCGCGCTACCTTTGAGGATGCATTTTACGGATTATGTGCCAAAATTCGCGAATTGCTAAGTCCGTCATCATTCACATCACGCAACGCAACGGCGTCGCCGTCCACGTCGAGCGTTCGAGAATTATCTGACAACACGATGCACGTTCGTTTGCCGAAGCTCAATCTTCCTACGTTTTCGGGTAGCTACGATGAGTGGTTCCCGTTTCATGATAATTTTAATTCTGTCATACATACAAACGTCTCGCTTAATAACGTTCAGAAATTTCAGTATTTGAAAGCCTCGCTCACCGGAGATGCAGGTAACGTGATTAACGCGTTGGAAATGACTGACGGAAATTACGCGGTTGCTTGGACGTTACTTTGCGAACGATACGATAACAAACGTGTCATTGTAGAAAACCATGTGAAAGCTCTCGTGGATACGCCTCATATCATCAAGGAGAATGCGAAAGAACTGAGGAAGCTCGCGGATGATGCCTCAAAGCATTTGCACGCACTGCAAGCAATGAAATGTCCAACTGCGCATTGGGACGATTTGCTTGTATACATATTAAAATCAAAACTTGATAAGGTTACTTTAAGAGAGTGGCAGGCCTCGCTTACGGGCACCGAGCGGCCCACGCTGAAACAGTTCTTGGATTTCGTTGCGCACCAGTGTCAAACTCTAGAGGCTACTGATAGGTCGGGCGGTAACAATACAAAGAACATTGGCGCCAAGCATCCGCCGAGTGATAAGCGTCAATCATCATGCGCCGCGACCGTCAAAATCAATTGCTACTATTGCAAGGGTAATCATTCCATTTACAACTGTAAAGATTTTTTAGCGCTGTCGGTCTCGCGCAGAATATCAGAAATTCGCAGCCGGAAGGTGTGCCTCAATTGTTTGAGGGCTACATCACACACGTCGGCCAAATGCACTTCAGAGCAGTGCAAGGTATGTCATCAGAAGCACAACACGTTGCTTCATCTAGAATCCGCATTGGTAGAAACGGCTGATAAGAACGCAAGCAAGTCCGAAGATTCAAAATCGGTTAGCGCGTCGTCGACCGTGGCGACATATTCTTCGGATCCAATCACGAATGACAACATTCTGTTATCAACCGCCTTGATTTACGTGCCGGACAGTGAGGGCACTCTCATGCCGTGTCGCGCGTTGCTGGATTGCGGTTCCCAGGCAAATTTCATCTCTTCTAAATTCCTGTCGATGCTCAAAATAAACCCGCGGCGTGTAAACATGTCTATCTCTGGGGTGGGTGGCACTGCCACGACATCCACGCGAGCGGCTCGAATCAGGGTTCAGTCCCGACTGAGTTCGTACAATGCCGACATTGAGTGCATAGTAACGGACAGCGTGACTGACAAGCTTCCAGCGTGCTCGTTTAGCCGAGGTAGTTTTGAATTTCCACGTAATATCAAGCTCGCGGACCCGCGGTTCCACGAGTCGTCGGACATCGACATTGTAATAGGAACCGAGATATTTTGGGATACATTGTCAGTGGGGCGCATAAAGGCCTCTTCAAGGCACCCTGCATTGTAGAAGACTCACTTGGGGTGGGTTATCGCGGGATGCCTGGGTAGTGCTACTCAATCAGAGTCAAGAGTATTATCATTACACACCTCCATATCGAATGCGCAGTTGCATGCAGAGCTGGACAGGTTCTGGCAGATCGATGATATGACAAGTCAAAATAAAGAATACACGATCGAGGAACGGGCTTGCGAACTGCATTTTTTGGGCAACGTTCGTCGAAACGAGCAAGGCAGGTTCACGGTCAGTTTGCCTGTCAAAGAGAGCTTAGCCAATGAGCTCAGTCAATCCCGCGAAATCGCGTTAAACCGGCTAAAGGGATTGGAAAGGCGATTCAAACGTCAACCGGAGATTAAAATCTCATATTCCAAGTTCATAAATGAGTATTTAATGCTAGGGCACATGCGCTTAGTAGAGTCACCGGAAAACAAAGACTTGCCATCTTGTTTCCTACCTCACCATTGCGTATTTAAAAATACTGCACAGGTCCCGAAAATTCGGGTCGTATTCGACGCGTCTTGCAAGGTGGTGGGATCTCTCTTAACGACGCCTTGATGGTAGGCCCGGTCGTGCAACAAGACCTCGTATCGATATTAATGCGTTTTAGCACATTTAGGTATGTTATAGTTGCAGATATAATAAAAATGTACAGACAGGTATTGGTGGATCCGTCGCAAACTCACTTGCAAAGCATTTTGTGGTGGGAGGATCCTACGGAGGAAGCTAAGACATACGAGCTACTCACTCTCACCTATGGTACGTCTTCCGCGTCTTATTTGGCCACTAGATGCCTCGTCTACCTGACTGATCAGCTGTCGTCAAAATATCCAGTGGGCGCAAAGCACGTGGCGCGTGACTTCTACGTTGACGATATGCTGACGGGGGCGGACTCCGTCGAGGACGCGGCTGTGATTCGAGACGAAGTAATTGAGTTATTACGGGAAGGGGGTTTTGAGCTCTATAAATGGGCTTCTAACTCTTCCGAGCTCATTCAAGGAGTAGCTACGCGAAACGATGAATTAATCACACTTAGTGACAACCCCGAGTTCTGCATTCTCGGCATGCAATGGAATCGCGTTGAAGACACGTTCCATTTTCGTTACGAGGCTCCACCAGTTTGTAAGGTATCCAAGCGCAACATAGTCTCCGAAGTCGCCAAGCTGTACGACCCGTTAGGCCTATTGGGCTCAGTCATCGTTAACGCGAGACTTATCGTTCAGGATCTGTGGCAATCGGGCGTGCAATGGGACGAATCTGTTACCCCAGACATTCAAACGCGTTGGTCTGCATTCAAGTGCCAGTTGAGCGCGTTAAATCAATTAAGAGTTCCGCGGTCTGTTGGTTTCGGACGCGCGGCTAGTGCAAATACACGGCTTCTGCGACGCAAGTCAACGGGCGTATGGGGCCTGTGTCTACTTGCGCACACATCTCGGAAATCGCGAGTATCGTGTGGAACTGATGTGTTCCCGATCGAGAGTCGCACCGCTCAAAGCGATAACTCTCCCGCGACTCGAACTATGCGCAGCTTTATTATTGGCTCGCCTCATCTCAAAGATCAATGAAGCCATGCATTTCAATAATTCAAGGATATTTCTTTGGTCGGACTCCACCATTGCCCTTCATTGGGTGAGCTCACCCTCTCGGCGATGGTCGACCTTCGTGGCAAATCGAGTGGGCGAGGTTCAACCACTCGCCGAAATTAGAGACTGGCGCCATGTTAACTCAGAAAACAATCCTGCCGATGTTCTGTCGCGCGGGTTGAATCCTAGCGAATTAATTGATTCTAATTTTTGGTGGCATGGACCTTCTTTTTTACTAAACGATGATGAGCTCTGGCCGAGCGGCACTGTGCCGCAATCCAAGGGGGAGCTCCCCGAACAAAAAAAGGTAGCCTCAAATGTGATCGCGAGTCGTAATCACATCATCGACGAATTGCTAACCAGATTTTCGCGCCTTACTAGAATCACGCGGATAGTAGCTTATTGTTTGAGGTTCTCGAAGGCATATCGTCCGGACATTCCGTCAATGCTTATATCTCCCGCCGAAGCAACGCGCGCGCTGGATATTATATCCAAGATTGTGCAGGAGCAGTCTTTTCCGGCGGAATACAGGGCTTTGCGCAAAAAGGATGCTATAACCGCTCCTAGCAATATATCATCGTTAAACCCCTTTATGGACGATTCAGGGCTAATACGGGTAGGGGGTCGGTTAGGCAAATCAAGCCTACAGCGCGACGCGCGTCACCCGGTATTGTTGCCGTCCAGCCACGCGCTCACCCGGCTGATTATAGAGCAACAGCACGTGCGTAACCTACATGCGGGCGCACAGGCCACCATGGCTGAGCGTCAGGCAGAGGTTTTGGCCTTTATCTCTGCGATCCGCTACGCGTAGGGTAATCCAAAATTGCATAACTTGTTTCAAGGCCAAACCGCGGGGCTCCGAGGCCATTATGGGTGCGTTGCCCGCGAGTCGGTTCATGATATCCAGGCCATTTTGCCACTGCGGAGTTGATTATGCCGGACCGGTTTTAATTCGAGAGGGCAAAAGGCGCAATGCGCACAATTTGAAGGCATACGTATCAATATTCGTTTGCTTTGCCACGAGAGCCGTTCACGTGGCGCTCGTGAGCGACTTAACTTCCAACGCGTTCATTCCGGCGTTCAAACGGTTCATTTCGCGCAGAGGGAAACCCTCCCAAATGTATTCCGATAATGGAACCACTTTCGTAGGCGCTCACGGTCAACTCAAAGAACTGTACAAATTTTATTATAGTCAGGAAACTCAAGTAGACGTGCAGCGATTCCTACATGAGCAGAAGATTTCGTGGACTTTCATACCACCGAACGCGCCTCACGTCGACGGGTTATGGGAGGCTGCAGTTAAGTCGCTAGAACACCACATTGCGCGTATCATCGGCAGGGCACACTTATCATTTGAGGAGTTGCTAACAGTTCTGTGCGAAATTGAGGCAATTCTTAACTCGCGTCCTATCACATCGCTAAGTACTGATCCGAACGATCTAGAGTGTTTAACCCCGGGTCATTTCTTAATTGGCGAACCATTGAACAGCTTTCCTTGCAGGGATGTGAGTGATGTGAACGAGAACCGTTTAATTCGTTGGCAAAGAGTTGAGCAGGTCAGACAACACTTCTGGCGCAGGTGGAGCACTGAGTATCTCCACTCGCTGCAGGAGCGGACGAAGTGGAGGAGCAACAAGGGGATTTAACTCCAGCCCAACCAGCTCGTGATCATAAAGCAGCAGAATCTGGCCCCGCTACAGTGGGCGCTGGGGCGTATCCAGGAAATTCATCCTGGCGCCGGTAACGTGGCGCGCACCGCTACGGTCAAGACCGCCAAGGGCTCTTTCGTTAACTAAACTCGCGATACTCCCTTTGGAAACGCAGACCTCACATCTCAGTTCTAATGTTGAAACGCGCACATGATTTGTTATGTAGAGTTGTATCATAATCAATAATCAATCTATGTATCATTAGTTTTAAGTAAAATTTTAAATATCTAGTAATGGTCAGCGCTGCCAAGTCAATAGAGCATTTAAGTTCATTGAAAGTGATTCATTTCAAGGCGGGCGGCGTTGTTACGTATTTCTTTATGTCGCATTTGTGTTTATTATTTATCCCACGCGACTTCGTTACCTACACGCGCGGCGCACTACATTTTTCCTTACGTACGCGACGATAGTTACCTTTGGCGCGCGTGTCGTCACTCGCGGCGCTCTCATCCAATCCGCGCGGGAGAAGATCAGAAGGATCTAGAAATCAATCGACCCTCGGCGAGGACACATCGTCCGTCTCGTTACAGCGAACATTACTGTAAACGTGATTACTGTAATTCAGATCAATAAATCTGTTAGTGCTCTCAAGCAGCTTGTGATTCATCCCATTCAAGAGTGAAAGATTGAGGAATATAACGTATTCTTCGACTACGCCCCGCGAAGCAATCGTACCGTGGAACGGCGTGGTGGGCAACAGCCCTTTCATACGCAACAGAATGAGACATAACAAATACAAAATACATTTACATCACTAAGCCATAATGGAAAAAGACGTAAATAATATGACGTGTGATCAAAAAGTAAGGCGACTTTTCATTTTTATAAAAAAATATTCATTTATTCATCCAAAATTATGTTATCCCCTTCAAAATAAT